GAGAATATATGTAGCGTCAGGGTTGAACTGTGGAGTCCTGGTGCTCTCTGAGCTTGGTTGTTTGCTTGCAGACATTTCATTACCCGACTAGGTTACATCATCAGTGCTCATGATTATGACCAGCACTGATGATGTTACCTAGTTGGGTAACAAAATATCGACAAGCAAACAACCAAGCTCAGAGAGCACCAAGGCTTATTTGACCTGCAAATCCTGAGGAATGTAAATCATTCTCTGTACAGATTCTAGGGTATCCAAGGCTCTGGTTTTGGATTAAAAGGACTCTATGGTTGTTGGGCTTTGCAGAAGAGGACTTTGACAAATCAGAAAATCACCAGTGGCTTCAAGATTGACAAGCTAGGAAGGGAGAGCTCAATGGAGGAGCCGGATGGCTTTATCCCCTTCTCCCTAATAATCTTAGCTGCATCAAGGCTTCCTGTATGCAAACATTGTGAATGTATTCTGGGTAATCCCCAGACCACCATCAAAGCCCTGCATACAGCCCGTGTGGCCGCAAGAGTTTCCCACCACTACTGAGTTACCCCAATGTTTTACCTCTGAAAGCATTTGTGGATGCTTTTAATAAAATGCACAAGGAATAACTCAAGTAATAATTCCCGGTTGTGCACTCTTATCTACTGCTCTTCTGAGGTTTACAGACAGCTTAAGTGAAACAGTTTTGGGCTCAAGTGTCATCTGTTAACCTGCACTGCTGTTAGCTATTTTTTCCCCCTCTAACTTAATTATTCCATGTCTTGAATTCTAAAATAATAGAGAACAGTTCTTGACCTTCTTTCCTGTGACATCTCTTCAGGTATATGAAGAGAGCTATCCTATCCCCTCTCAGCCTTCTTTTCTCAAAGCTGAACATTCCCAGTCCCTTCACCCTCTCTTCATAGGACTTCATTTCTAGTCCTCTGATTAGCCTTACTACCTTTCTTTGATGCTGTTCTAATTTGTCTGAATCCTGCTTCAATTTTAACGCTAGGGAATTGCCCTGTGCAAATAAATGCAATAATGGAAGATTACTTAGCTAACCAAATGAATCAGTGGACTAAAATGGGGGTTGAAATGCAATGTTCACTGTGGGAATTTAGCATGCAATGAGGAAGAATTATATCCATGATATATTCTAAGTTGATTATAGACATCTGGCTTGCAGATGGTCAGGGTTTTGTAGCTCTAGAAAGTTTTGGAGTTTCAGTAAGATGAAGAATATTCCTAATGACTTCCTCTAACCAGGAAGGAAAAAAATACTGCCTTAGGCAATATATTGAGTCCCACATTTTCTCTAACTCCTACAGTTCAGCAACACTGTCATCCAACTATCAGTTACTGAGGGCTTTATGCTGCCTTTCCTGTCAAGCTTGCCTCTTACTATTTTCCTCACCTGATTGCCCAGATGTTGGAATTCCTTGCCAGCTGTGTGGCCCCCATATGCTTGTTTACAATAATACAACTATCCCTCTCCTTTGCCTCCAGTATTTTTGAGCTGCAAAAATACAAGCGCAAAAAAGAGAAGGCTTCAGACACGTGCTTATTTTAAGCCATAACCCTGAGGTGTTCAATACAAGGTCAAGACAGATCAGATGATGACATTTCCCCTCTTCCTTCTGCTTTGCACCTGGATAGCTTCATGCCTTTAAGACAAGGTACCCAATCTATGGGGTTCTGCACTCTTGCTACGCAACATGGCTTCAGTCTACAAGGCAACAAGCATGACTTTCAAAATGCCTTCAGCAATTTGCTAAAGCCCAGAAAGAACTCAGTTATTCAGGACTATGTGTCAAAGTCGTTCCCTTGATCTTACTGCACACTCCTTAGCCTTAAAGGTGATACAACGAAATAAGAAATCAGAACCAAGAACAGTGTGTTCTTTTTCACCTGGAAAAGGCTCCTCATAAGTAAGTTCTTCTCTGCTTCTTAAAGTTATAGCTGGTGGTGACAGCGTTGGTGGGGTGGGAGTCCTCGCCATACGAACACCATCTGAGTCCTCGGGCATCTCATCTTCGCATATATCTTCCTCTTGATAAAGCTGCATTGAACAAATCAACACACTTTAGAAGCAAATCTTCTGGGTATTTTGTGAATTTTGTTAGCTTTCTAGGAAACAACTTGGAAAATTATTAAAAGTAAATGCAATACTGTCAATTTACTATTCAAATGAATTCTTAGAAAAATGGATTTCATCATTTTTAAAGGTGGAACCTTTAAATAGACAAAATAATTTATTATATCATCAATTACCTCTCAAACAGGTAAGTGCAAACTAAGTTTTATTAGGGCTTTGCAAAGCATTGGTAAGGGGGCTTTGCAAAGCACACTGGGGCAGGCAAAGCCCCTCTCCTTCAAACATTAAAATAGCTGTTCTCTTCAGAAGGCTTAGCATAGCTGAAACAATCATGATGAACCTTCTGAAGAACAGTCATTTTAATGCTCTAAGGGATGGGTGTGCTTCTCCTGAACCAAGTGTTTTGCCTAGGTAAAGCTCTGCACAGGCCCAATTATAACAGTGCTTACATTGCTTCAAAATTCTGCTTCCTCAGCAGGAACCTAATGCTAATAAATATTTCAGATAGCTTTCACTTGTCCATCTTTCACATAGTTTTAGAACTAGAAAGGAAGTCATTCACCAGAGGCTTACCACTGGGGTTTCAATAGGTACTGCTTGTTGCACTTGGAGGTTTACTGCAACTGTTTGGGGAGGCGGAAGAGTCTGAAGTGGCAGCTGGACCAAAGCTTCAGCAGCAGGAAGCTCCTCTTCAGAAACTAAGGTATTTTGTACCAAAACCTGATCTTGGGACAAAAGTTCAGGCTGGACTTGCAAAGATGGAACAGGAGGAAGGGGCATCTGTTGAGCATGGGTTGGAGTTGATGACAGTTGTGGAGAGGTTGCAAGTGGAATTGGTGCTGGCTGCAAAGCTGGATACTGTTGATGAGATGATGGTGATGTTACCTGTTGGCTGGGGGACAGCATGGAAGGATGATCTGTTGGTCCAACATGTACTACTGGGGAAGGTGACAACTGGGGAGGAAGAGCAGCGGACTGTGATACTGATTCTGGTGGACTATCGTCAGCCTGCACTGAGTTATGCTCTGACTGGAGTGCTGACGACGTCAGTGGATGTGACTGCGATTGAATAAGAGTTTGGGGATGGATAATTATACTTGGGGACTGGCTGGGTGAAGGAGGAGGTGGTGGGGATACTACCACAGATTGCTGTGAGGATGGGGATGGGGTTGGAGAAAGTGGAGGAGGATGGACGTGGACAGGAGTGCAGTGCTGGGATGGGGTACTGGTGGGATCTGGAGTCAGAGAATGGCTCTGAAGGGATGTGCAGTGCTGGGATGGAGTGGCTTCTTGGCTGGGAGGCAGCTGGAGTGTGATTGGTTGAACTTGCTGCTGCTGAAAGATTAACTGATGGTGAGAAATCTTTGAAGGTGGTGAGTGAAGAGGGGGCTGCTGATGTTTTAACAGGGAATGAGGTTGCATCGGAGAATATGAGGCTACATAATAGAAATGGGAAAATTTACAATTAATATTTCCTTAAGATCACAGAAATTCATAAAAATATGCTTATTTTCAGATAAATACCAATATGTCTATGTAGTGTTTGCTGTTTAACGCCCATTATATCTAATATGATACTTGAATTTGTTCAATCCTTAAGAGAAACACATCTGTGAACATGTGGAATGAAACGAAATTCATATAAATTAATCCCTAAAACATTTTGATTTGACTGGTTTTCTAAAAATAATTTTTGATACCTTTAACATAAGCAGCTTTATCAAACAATTTTTATGCAACCGGATTTCTAAGGAAAAAACACATTGCAGAGCAAGAAAAAAAATCTTGCATCTTATAACAGACATCGTGCTCTGAATTTCAACAGCAAGAAGTAAATAAATCCTACTTCATCTTTATTGTATTAAACAATAAAATAAAACAATAACTATGATTTACTGGATCCAATCCAGTGCAAGGAAAATATATGTACTGAGTTGTTAATGCCTTTTAATTTAATTTAATGCAAATAATTCAAGGATAGTTTTCAGGTAGAGCTTTGAATCTAACATTTGATGCCTACTAAAGCCCCTGTAATTGGAATTTCTTCTTCCAATTAGTTCAACTGGTCCTTTTCAGATGTTTATACACAGGGGATTCCTGTCTCTTCTTTCTTAGCTTTCTTTAATAAATTGAAATACTATAAAGAATGACATCCCATATCTAATAATTTAAATAAGTCGAATTCCTTCTTTGGAAATATCACATCAGCGCTCCTAATATCACAGCTAGATGCCAATAATAACATCTGAGATACAGGAGAGAGGGAGAAAAGAGAGTAGAGACTTCAGCTCCCTTAGTCCAAGCACTTCATGTCAAATGAGTTCCCACCAATGAAGAGCATCCTAGAGTTTCGTAGAGCTTCAGATTTTGTGGCTTCACCCACACATCACTGGGTGCAAAAAGACTGACATAATACTGACTAGAAATCAAGTATTTTTCTTACTTGGTGATTGAAGTGGCATATACATTGACAAATGCATAAAAAAAATCTTAATTGTAAAAGGGCAACCTTTAAAAACGTGATTGGATTGTCCTACCTGGTGCCATTAACTGATGAATACTTGATGTACGGGTAACAGCTGGACTTCGAGGCTCAGCATTTGGGCTATCTCCTTTCCTTTTGCTTTCTAGAAGATCTGACTGGCTGGCTTTGGCACTGGTTACAGGTTTGCTAGGACACACAGCTAACGTCTGGGGTTGACTACAGCTTTTTGGAGTTCCATTTTGAGAACTAGACAATACACCCAGCTTCTGGCTGCGCAAAGTCAAATTCTGGACCTAAAAAAAAAGCAAAGAAATATTTTAAAATATGTAAACATACATGTATATTTTTGTGTGTATACATGCCTTCTCTGTGGCTATGCCTGCTCTGTGGAACAGCATCCCCTCCGGAGCTCTGGATGGCTTTGACCCTGTTAACCTTTCATAAAGCATTGAAAACCTGCAGCCATTTAGGCCAGGAAGTTAGGTGAGCTGTGTTGGTGATGTGGCTTTTTGTTTTGAGGGTCATTGTTTTAACCGGGGTGTCATGGGTTATATATTGTTATGATGGTTTTGATCTTTGTACGCTGCCCTGAGTTGCTGCTGTGAGATGGGAGGCTCTATAAATCATTTAAATACACACACACACACACACCCTTGGATTAAAGAAATATTTTCTAATCTTGACGATATTTTGGTATCTGCAGTATGTGACAGAAAAACAATTCAGGATCAAGCTTCGCAATAATAAATATTTAATAATTACAGTGTAAACGATGTGCCAGATGTTGTACAAAACAAAAGCACTGTCTTAATTGAGAAAGAGTATAGTCTAAATGAAACTGACAAGCCATGCACTCTCAGTGAGGAGCAGTCTTCAAATAGACAAAGTATAATGGGAAGTAGGAATAACCTTGAGGAACAGGAGGAAGACCCGCAACCAAGGCAACAGGCTGACACAAAGCACTTTATTTTCTCAATTTTCTGCCATTTAATGCAAATCTATACTTGTGTTTTGTGGAGTTCTGGAGAGACAGTGAATGCAGGAAAGACAAAAAGGAGGAGAAAAAGCAAAGAAGGATTGGTATACAGAACCAAAATGCTTTCCAAGCATTTCCAAAATGTTTATGATTATATTAAATATATAGAAAAATATATCTGTAGAGAAAAGTGTTTCTTGATATACAAGGGAGGAGTATGAAATTAACATGTCTTACAGTTCTCTATCATTTTTTCCCAAGTAGTTTGAGGCTTCTTAGTTTACTGGAAGAGCTAATAGTAGCAAGGGAGTAAAAAAGTTTCATCATGAACTATTCCAATCAGGCAGTTCCAAGTGGTCCATAAATGGTGCAATCTCAGAATAAGCTTGTTTAGAGACTGGACAACTTCCAAGTCAAAACATTCTGTAATGGAAACGTTTCCATACAACTCACTTGGTAGTTCTCTGTGACATGTTTACAAGAGTTTTTTTTGGGGGGGGGGCGGGAACAGTTGTTTTCCTCATAACTTTCTCAGTGTTGATAGATCAAGCTGTACAGTAGAGGTAACCTGGGCACTGTCTAGTCATTCCATTGGCTCCAGTCACCTCTCTCTACATTTGTCAAAATCTCGTAAGATTATAGTTATCTTACAAGATCTTAAGTAAGAACACTCAAGTACTATGAAATTTTGTACATTTTCAGTGTTTTCATGTAGGATCTCACTATAATTTGCATGGTATTGCTAACATCTTGGAAAATTTAGCAAACAATTTTCTGCATTTTTATACATTAAACTTATTTTAGGTTTATTTCTGCCTTTCGGATTTGCAACAACCATTTTTGAAGTGACTGATGCCTTGGTGCCATTGGCAATATGTTATCAAATGCAGATCTGTGTAGAAGTGTTCCTGACATTAATGTGGTTCAGGTCAAAATCTTATTTATTCATTTATTATTTAAAAGCTTCAGATAACAATGAACTAAACAACAAAAGAGATGGAAAGGGTAATTTAGGGTACTGAGTCTAATCCTCACTCAAAAAAAAGGTAAAGATTCTTCCACATTGAGCTCACAGCTGAGGTTTTGGGGTTATTTTTTTTTTTGGTCAATGATATGTCCTATCAAAATACTGAACAGGTCCAACTCTTTATTTTTGAAAATAGTCACAACTGGCTAGGTGCTGCCACTTTCTATGAAGAAATATAATTAAGACATCACTGATGGATGATTAATTAGCCTTACTTGAATACATGCAGTGAAGGATAACCACTTTTTTGGTTTTGTTACTGGTTCCTATGTTGAGCTTCTGTTGTTAGGAAGGTTTGCAATTCAAATTTACCTTCCTGTAACTTAAGACCAATATTATATGTTTTGTACTCTTTGACTATAGAGCAGGTCATGATCCTCATATATTTGAAAGTGTTGCCCACAGTAATCTGTTCTTAAGGCTAAATATACCTAGTTTCTTCAGTTTCTCCTATAAGACTCTATTTCTAGTCTTGTGATCTAGTCTTGTGATCATCCTCACTGCCCTTATCTGAATTTGTTCAATTTTCTCTGAATATTTCTTAAAACATGGTGTCTACAACTGGATAAAATAATTGAGGTAAAGTCTGAACACTGCAAAATATAGTGGAACTACTACATTCTGTGATGTGACTGATTCATTTATACTCCACTGCATTTTATTCCCTTCCCCCTCTTAGGTTTCTTTTCCCTAAGAACTTTGCATTTGTTTCTATTAAATTCCATTCTGTTATTTTCAGCCTACTGGTCTAACCTATCAATATCACTTTTTTTCTGTCTTCTGGAATATTAGCAATCTCATTCAGTTTTGGATCATCTACAAATATGATACGCTATTTTTCCACCTCTTTGTTCAAGTCATTAATGAAAATGTTGAGGAATACTGGCCCAGAATTCAACTCCATAGCCTCCCACTTGATACTTCAGTCTGATGAGAAATCATTGATAAGAACTTTGAGTATCATTTTCAAACCAGTTGTTGATTCTGTGATTAGACATGCTGCCCAGACCATGTTTAACTAGCTGCTAGTCAGATTATCATAAAACACTTTATTATATATCCTCTATGTCAAAATGTATTTTGTCCATTGCAATCCACAATATGCTAAGGAAGGTAGGTACCTGATCAAAAAATGAAGCAAGTTGAGTTTTGACAAATTCAGGCTGACTTCTAGAAATCACTGCACCATATCTGAAGAAGCCCTTTGCTGTTTTTAGCACTTTGGATACCTCAACGGATACCAAATTTTAGCTTTACTAACACCATTTTTACAAATCTGAACTACCTGTATGTACGCTTCTTTGATGATTTGCCCCTCTTATTACCTTCTGTAATTGTCCTTTTTTATTTTCACTCATTCTATGCAGCAACATTGGCTTTTCTTGTTATGATTTATTATGATGCTGTCATGTTCTAATATCATACTTTTTATGTCTCCTTTTTTTAGGAACTCCCACCCATCTTGGGTTCTTTTTTCATTCATTTCACCTACCCATTATATCCAAATATATAATTGTATAAAGATAAGCAAAGACAATATGAAGAAACTGCAAATGCAAATCAAACAAAGACAATAAGAGACAAAAAATGAAAACAAAATACCATAATGGTAAGGTGATTCAGGAATAAGTGAGCAATTTTTAAAACAGGGAAGGCTTAATTGACATAGTAAGATTTCCTTTTTTGTTGAAGTAACTATAAGGACAGAGGTCAAAGACCTTACATTAGAAGGGATTATGCTTCAGTTCACAATAATAAATAAATAAATAAATAAACAAGAAATAAACAAGAAATAAATTTTAAGGAAATAAAACAAATTTTGGATCAATGCTATTTGCTTTGTTGATAGTGTTCTAAAAAGAGGGTTATTTAAACAGCAAATAATACTTTTTCTTTTAAATCCTAAGTCCTCAAAAAGATTATTTTAATCCTTTGGATATACTTTTTGTACAGGTTAAGCAATGAGAACTGCAAAACAATCTTATGTTAACCAATGACCAAGGGGTGATTGGCTGGTGGATGATATTACTGCTTTATGATGTCACTGCTGTCATAGAAACAATGTGTGCACACAAATGAATATACCACCAGCCAGTACAAGAGCATGGAAAGCTAAGAGAGGAGGCAACATCTTGAGTGGGGCAGGTCAGGGTCAACAAAAACTGAAAGAAGAGCGGTCAATGACCCAGGGTTCAATTCTGCTTTCGTTTAAATAGTATGGCTCATGAGATTGACTGGTTACACAGTCAATCCGGCCTTTGCAAGGTAGACCTCTATAGCTCTGAAGGACAAAGCGATCAAGATCGTAAAGTTATCTGTTTTGTTGATGTTGCCAACCTTAACATAAAGAATAGAGACAAACGTAATAGAAGTGCCGCTGACCCTTCCCTTGACCTACGTAATCTTGAAGAAAAGGAAGTCATTGTAATTAAGGACAACGAACAAAATCAGCACAGCAATACTGAAGGAGCGGTCTGCCTTTTCAAACAAGGCTCCTCTGAAGAAGTCAACGTTGTGAGCTGGCTCAGCAACGATCTTCAGAAATACGCAGTTGGATTCCAGCATGCACTAACCCCCTCAGGCCCTCGTAAATCAGCTTACGAATCGCCTGCACTTAACAAGATGTCCCAAGGCAGTGACACATCTTTCAGAGGCTCTTGTAGCCAGAGAGGAGATGACCTTTCATATTATGTTAACAAGCTTTGTTCCTTAGTGGTTCAAATGGCACATAAAGAAATGAAGGATAAACTTGAAAGCAGTGGAAGGTGCATTCGTCAGTCAATTAGAGGATCTAATGGCAAGACTGGTGATGACTACGGCAAGTTATCTCCCAAGTCATCTCACGATGACCCCAGAAAGGCTTCACTCTTTTATGGTGAGATGTCTAATCAGAGTAATCAGAATGGCTACAGGCAGGGAGCAGACAGACAAATGTTAGAAAGAAAACAGTCAGGACAAGATGATGGTTCTGTAAGCAAAGGACTGATGGTATATGCAAACCAGGTAGCTTCAGATATGATGTTCTCATTCATGAAAACAATGAAAGTCCAAAAGGGAAAGCATCCTCCACCAGCTTGTGTGGTATTAAAGAAGGTTCTCCTCAAACATACCAGAGAAGTCATATCTGACTTAATTGATTCCACCATGAAAAACTTACACAATGTTACAGGAGTACTCATGACAGATTCAGATTTCGTTAATACTGTGAAAAAGAACCTTTTCAATGCTGGAACACAGAAATCAACTGAGATTCTGGAAGCAATGGTAAAACGCTTATTTAAAGCACTTTC